CTCTCTGTTTAGTGTAGCAGTATCTCTTAAACACATTTCCACAACAATTTTATATCATGCATGTAAATCTGGATTTGTTTGTATTGTTCTTTTTCTTTTAGACCCCAAAATAAAAGTGCTTCTCAAGCTCAAGAAAATACAACTTAATATATGTAGATGTAAGCTATATGTTTATAAAAAATATACATCTAAAAATGTCTACTTCTAAACTAAACACAGATGACAGATTTTGAAATATATAATAAATATAAAATAGTGTAAAATATATCTTTTTAACACACTCTTATAAAACAAATCTGTCATTATATTTGATATATGAGTGAATGTGTGTAATCATATCTAAATATTTTTCTTTGTTCTTTGTATCTCCACTTGATGGCGCTCGAACTGTGATATTGTGTGTGTGATACATTGTGGAGAGAATTTCAGATGTTCAGGATATCAGTTTCAAGGTGTGACTGGATTCATCACGTTAGCAGCTCTGCTATCAGAAATAAATGTACGCGAGCTGTCACTGGGGTGGTACCTTTTCAAAAGGTATGCATTTGTACTTAAAGAGTTCATATTGATACCTCAAAAGTATATATTAGTACCAGCATTTATTTAAGATGAACACTGTACTTCTTAGGTACTAGTATGTACCTTGAGGTATTAATATGCACCTTTTAGGTACAAATGTGTAACTTTTGAAAAGGTACCACACCAGTGACATCTCAAGTATCTTTATTTCTGAGAGTGTATAAATTAGACAATACTGTTAAATGTTAGAAATAATTATATTTCCATGGTACAAAAAAACAAAACATTGTAAAGCACTCAAACAAAACACAACTGCTCACTTCTTAGTTTAAATAATTTAAGTGTGTGATCCTGAATTAAGCAGAAAGTAAATTAAAAAAATTGAGCTACAACAATTGCCTTTAACTTTAGTGGTACAGTACTATTCTCAGAGTATGCAAATCTGAGCTATAAAAGGGCCAGACGGAATCTGCAGACATTTTTGGCTATTTTTGCGCAGAATTTTGTTAAAAGTCTGCGGATTTATGCAGAATTATTTTGGGAGTATCAAGACTAAAACCTTTATATATAAAATTTAAAGTAATGCCTTTTTAACTTGTATTAAATGTTTACAATGCAAATCCAATTAGATCCACTTTATCTGGTGAACAAAGCAAGGCTCTCATTTAATATCTCTACTTAAAGACAGAAAATATTGTTGAACTAGCTGTATTGTAAATAAATCATATAAATATTTTCATACTAGTCAATGATATCACTGAAATTAATTTAAAAACTACATATATATGAATTTGCACACAGGTAAATAAACTGAATCAATGACTGACTAAAAATCTGCGGAATTCTGAGTGCACAGATTCTGTGTGGGCCTAGCTTTAAGCAATATAGTAATAGTAATAATAATAATTTTGTTGTTGCTGTTAATGATAATGATGATGATATGAGACAATTTATTATACTGTAACATTTTCAGTTTTTCAGGTTAACCCATTAATATTTCGAAATAGGTCATGGAAACAGTCCGAGCACACAAAAATGTATGACAATTATAGGATTTTATAATTTAATTAATTAAATAATAAAAAATAGTTAATACATTTATTTAGTTCATTTATTAAATATAATAATTATTATTATTAATGATGATAATAATAATTGGGGTGTCACAGTGGTGCGGTGGGTAGCATGATCGCCTCACAGCAAGAAGGTCGCTGTTTCGAGCCTCGGCTGGGTCAGTTAGCATTTCTATCTGGAGTTTGCATGTTCTCCCCGTGTTCGTATGGGTTTTCTCTGTGTGCTCCGGTTTCCCCCGCAAGTCCAAAGACGTGCTATAGATGAACTAGGTAAGCTAAATTCATTCTTCATTCTTTCATATCACATTTTACCTGTTTTTATGTTTTGTTTTGTTTTGATGCATTTTTATTATTTGTTTTTATTTTTATTTTACTTGTTTCTTTTATTCTTGTTTATGTAAAGCACTTTGAATTGCCATTGTGTATGAAATGTGCTATATAAATAAACTTGCCTTGCCTTGCCTTGCCTAAATTGTTCCTAGTGTATGAATGTGTAATGGATGCGTAAAACATGCTGGATAAGTTGGAGGCTCATTCCGCTGTGGTGACCCCAGATTAATAAAGGGGCTACGCCGAAAAGAAAATGAATGAAGGAATGAATAATAATAATTATAGCACCATATTATCCCAATAGTTACCAATTAAAACCATCCTAACTTACTGTCCTGACATACTGTAAGGCTGCATGACAAAAAGGATAAAACATGTCTGCTGATCACTATAGCTGTCCCAGATGATACAAAAATCACGTTAATGGAGACTGAGAAGATCAGTAAATGCAAAGACTTACAGATCAGCAGGATGTGAATATTTGAAACATACCAGTGATAGTAGGGAATTATAATAGCATTAGGAACATTAAAGAAAGGTTTTATCCAGAACCTAAAAATGTTCGCAGGCTGTCCATCAGCTAGTGTCGTGCAAAATATCACATTGCCACTGCACATATCCTTGCTTGGCTGAATTGCTGTGATTGCTTGTTGAGATCTGAATTTACTAGTACAACTGCAAATAAACCCGAGAAGAAAAAAATAATATTAATAAAAGTAATAATACTCACCCAAAATCCTCTAAATTGTAAAGAAAACCTTGTCAGCTCTCTGTTACTCTCTCAAAACCATTTAAGCTGCAACATTCTGTTAAACTATCGGAAACTTGTGTTTCCAACCACAATATGTCACATTTACATGTGGTTTAGAAGCACTTTGCTCTATTTCTAATTGCTGACATTATGTCTAGCAAAAATAATGGTCAGTTGACATTTCTGTGTGGAGTTTGCATGTTCTCCCCATGTTTGCGTGGGTTTCCTCTGGGTGCTCCGGTTTCCCCCACAAGTCCAAAGACATGCGGTATATATACAGTATATATTTACACAGGGCGACGCAGTGGCACAGTAGATAGTGCTGTTGCCTCACAGGTTTGAGCCTTGGCTGGGTCAGTTGGCGTTTCTGTTTGGTGTTTGCATGTTCTCCCTGCATTCGCGTAGGTTTCGTCCGGATGCTCCGGTTTCCCCCACAAGTCCAAAAACATGTGGTTTAGGTGAATTGGGTAGGCTAAATTGTCCGTAGTGTATGTGTGTGTATGAGTGTGTGTGGATGTTTCCCAGGGATGGGTTGCGGCTGGAAGGGCATCCGCTGCGTAAAAAACGCGCTGGATAAGTTGGTGGTTCATTCCGCTGTGACGACCCCGGATTAATAAAGGGACTAAGACGACAAGAAAATGAATGAATGAATATATATATGTTAAAGTCAGAATTATTAGTTCCACTTTGAATTTTTTTTCTTCTTTTTTAAATATTTTCCAAATGATGTTTAACAGAGCAAAGAAATTTTCACAGTTTGTCTGATAATGTTTTTTTATTCTGGAGAAAGTCTTATTTGTTTAATTTTGGCTGGAATAAAAGCAGTTTTTAATTTTTTTAACACAATTTTAGGGACAAAATTATTAGCCCCTTTAAGCTATATTTTTTCTTGACAGAACAAACCATCATTATACAATAACTTGCCTAATTACCCTATCCTTCCTAGTTAACCTAATTAACCAAGGTAAGCCTTTAAATGTCACTTTAAGATGTATAGAAGAATTTTAAAAAAGATCAAGTAAAATATTATTTACTGTCATCAAGGCAAAGATAAAATAAAAACATCACGAGAAATGAGTTATTAAAACTATTATGATTAGAAATGTGTTGAATAAATCTTCTCCCCATTAAACAGAAATTGGGGAAAAAATAAACAAGCGGTCTAATACTTCAGGGGGGCTAATAGTTCTTACTTTAACTGTATATGATATCTATATCTATATATATATATATATATATATATATATATGTATATATATATATTTTTTTTTTGCAATCGATTTCCTTAAATGGTTTGAGTTACCTTAACTTATTAGGTTTTACAATCATTTCCAGACCTCCTTGCCTTAGCCTGCAGAGTGCATTACAATAAGGAATCGCTTTATTTATTTATTATACATTGAGACAATATAATTGTTGTATATTTGTTTGTACGTATATAGCCATTATATTTTGTATAATTTAAAAATGAACCCAACTGTACCAGCTTAGCTTCAATATTTCAGTTGCTGCAGTAAATTCAGTGTCACCCTTGTCTTGCACATAGGAGATGCACCATTTTAGGGGTATGTGTGTCCCAATCCTCTTAAGCTGGGAGGCACTGGGGTAAGGTGAAGGGCCAAAAAATGGCCATTAATAAGGATTTTTACTACAAAGAGCATCTGATTTATTACATTCATAAGGTGTTAATGTTACGATCATGATCTTCAAAGAAATGTTTAAAGGAAAAAAAACATGCCAAATGCCATTAGTCCCTTAATAACCCCAGGAAAATATTACACAATATATTTTAAATTCTGATACCCTTCCCTGATGACTTGACAGAATCAGTCTGTAAGAAATGTCTGACAGGGAAATATTAGGTTGTCTGAACAGTATAATGTGCTATAGAGAATCCAGGTAAATCTACATCTAGATAAAGTTAGAGCTAGCTTTCACTTAAAGTCAGCTTGAAGATGACTTTTCTCGCATATTATGAGACTTTGGTTATTTGTATAAAACTTCAATGTGAGTAACATGTTACTAAAGTGGAGTTAATGAAACCTAACTGGCCAGTGCATAATCTTATTACCCCATTAAGTCAAGGTCTGTATCCATCCATCGCTGGTAGTAATAATAATCTATTTGTGCACAAGGTAAAGGAATTCTTTTCTTTTTTTTGTATCAGCCTTTATTTTACACCCAGAGGCAAGTTAAAGCCCAGTGGGAGTACTAAACTTAATAGAAGAGCGAAACATAATCATAGGAATATATGGGTGTTCCCTGTTATTCTGGTTTAGGATGTCTTTGGTGCAGAGATGGGTCATTGTGCTTTGTACCAGGAAGAACTTGGGGAAAAATAATCCACAGAGAAGGGAAATCACACACTTTCTGAAGCCTGAGACATACCCACTCTAATGTCTTGTAGGAAAACGGGCATCTGTGAGATATGCTGTGAGTACTGTCAATTTGATCTTTTAGTTTAAATGTCTTGTTAATTAATTTACAGGGATGCAGTGTTAAGTAATACAATATTAAGTACAATCTGTTACCGCTTATATGCATTTCCAGATAAGTGAGGACCAATATACCAATACCAATTTAAAGACTTTAGGTACCTACAGTTGAAGTCGGAATTATTAGCCCCCTTCGATTTTTTTTCTTCTTTTTAAAATATTTTCCATATGGTGTGTAACAGAGCGAGAACATTTTCACAGTATGTCTGATGATATTTTTTCTTCTGAAAAAAGACTTATTTGTTTGATTTCACCAACATTAAAAGCAGTTTTTAATTTTTAAAACACCATTTTAGGGACAAAATTGTTAGCCCCTTTAAGCTATATTTTTTCTCGATAACCTACAGAACAAATCATCGTTATACAATAACTTGCCTAATTACCCTAACCTGCCTAGTTAACCGAATTAACCCAGTTTAGTCTTTAAATGCCACTTTAAGCTGTATAGAAGTGTCTTGAAAAATATCTAGTCAAATATTATTTACTGTCATCATGGCAAAGATAAAATAAATCAGTTGTTAGAAATGAGTTATAAAAACTATTATCTTTAGAAATGTGTTAAAAAAATCTTGCCTCTGTTAAACAGAAAATGGGGAAAAAATAAACAAGCGGTCTAATAATTCAGGGAGGCTAATAATTCTGATTTTAAATGTATATGTTCTTTTAAGATATAAAATGAAATCTTTAGGAAACCTTTTATACTCTACTGCTCTATTGGTAACCTGTGTGCATTTATTTTTGAGAGAGTGAGATCTAGATTTACATTTGATTAACAGAGACAGTTTATGTTCTTAATGTTTTCCTTTATGCTCTGAATTCTGAATTAAATTTGATGTATTGGTATAGGGGAAGATCTCCAAATAGTTTCAATAAATATATTCTAAAAAAAAAGTCAAACACAACTATTAAGGAAAATAGTTTAAATAAGATTTTAAATAAGATTTTAATCCACAGTTTGTTTAGATTTGACAAAAACTTTTTGTAATTTTAGTCTGATTTTGATTCCATAGAGATCAAAGTGTCTATTGGGATAGGATGTTTAACCATGATGTGATGGAGAGAAGGATGTTCTTTCCAGTAGTGATTAGCAAGAGACATGTTTTGTCATAATTTGATTCTGGTGCACAAAAAAGGTTTTTCTAGAATTCTGACAGACAAAGGCTGAATCTGACCCAGAGTCAGATAAAACATTCAGCACGTAACCAAGTCAGAGATCATGGTATATTGACATATATTTTTTCCTATTCAGGACAAAAGCCAATGATTACTTTAATTACCAAACTTGAGAAAACTTCTTTGTCTTTCAGTCTGTTTTTATTTTTTTATTTTGTTGACACCAGTCATTACTAGAAATAGAACTTTTCAAACATAATCAAGCAAATGAATTAACAAAACTTTAGGGTGTTGTTGTATAATTAGAAATGGTATAATCTTATAAAACGTACTTTAGGTTAAATCACTGTAAAGGAAACATTGACAGAGATGGAAAGATTTAATGGAGTAAATTGCTTCTAGAGTAAGACGCATTGGCGTTCTAAGGTTTTTTTGTGTTATTTATGTTGGAGGTAGATATCCTATGAACATATCCACCCTTTTTTAAAGTGTGTGTGTGTGTGTGTGTGTGTGGGGGGTGGGTGGGGGGGGTACTTCCCCCGTCACTCTTAGAGACAGACCATTAAGATTAATATTTATATGAAAGTAAATTTTTGGATCTCATAGCTGTCCCCTCACTTTTAAAATGTCCACTGTGTGTTACTGTGTACAGTAATGACCCTGCAGGTAACCTTACCACTCATACAATTATCCCCCTCACTTTTTGAGACAGATCATTTAGATTAATATTAATAGCCATTATAATTTATATTGAGGGTAGCCAACCCTGTACCTGGAGATCTACCTCCCTGCAGATTTCAGTTGCAACCCATATTAAACACACATGCCTGTAATTATCGCGTGGTGTTCAGGCCCTAATTAATTGGTTCAGGTGTGTTTGATCAGGGTAGCAACTGAAATCTGCAGGAAGGTGGCTCTCCAGGAACAGGGTTGGCCACCCCTGATTTATATGAACGTAAACTTTTGGATCTCATACAGCTGTCCCCCCAACTTTTAAAATGTCCACTACGCCCCTGTGTACAGTAATGACCCAGGTAACCTTATAACTCACACCATTATAGGCTTATTATTATTCTTATCTTCATATTCACAATTACATTTAGATTGTTTATGAGTTTCTTTTTGAGGCATTCTTTACATATTTAAACATAAATTTAAACATATTCCTTTCTACCCATTATTTGCTGGTTTAGTTATCTTACGTTTAAAGGGCCTTTATACCAGAACTTCTGGTGTACTCACTGATTCATTTGACATCAGGTTTGTCTGGGGTTTGTTGATCTGAAGAATGTCTTTTTAAATTTTTTTTTTTACCTGAGGCACATATAGTAATTGTTCATGCAATTCTGCTTACAGTATTTATCGTACATTTTTGTGTTTGTACTGTGTATTCATTACAGCTGTCCTTAACTAAAGATTTTCTGTCGCCCATTAGTCATTCATTGAAGCCATTAGCCATCTCAGGCTGAAAAGTCTTAAGAGAATAATGTTGAAAATGGTAACAATGACACAGTCAGGATAAAGGACAAGGCTTAAATATAAACATCTAATGAAAAAATACTGTTATGAAAAATAATAAGTCAATACTTTAAATGAAACATCAGATGAAACATAAGTTTTAGCTTCAATTAGTTGCAAAATAAAAAGCATTTTCACATTATTATTTAATGTATTATTTCATATAAATAGACTTTTTGTTTGACAACCAATTAAAACTAAAACTTATTTGAATAAATACAATGTGGGCTAACAGTGTATACATAAACATTACAAAAATATAAGCAATTATAAATGATGGTCTCTATCATCATTTTCTCAACTTTTTTCATTTTATGAGAAAGCAATACAAGTTTGCCTACACATTGTTGGGAAGAAGTGAGATCTGTCTTATTTGCAATAAACCTGGCCTTAAATTAAATTCAATCCAATGGAGTAGTTGTAGAAGGGATGGAGTGATGATATGATCGATTTTCTTCTCTTTAATATTATGGACAGGTCGATTTGCCAGATACGCTTAACAATCTCTCACTGAGGGCAGTTGCGCAAAAAAGGGGGTATGCAGTATACGCGACGCATAGGGGCACCACACATGGGGGGCGCCATTGTGCCAAAACTATTATCCATATTAAAAGTTTCTAATAATAAACATCAATAAATATATTTTTGTTAATGTTTATTAAGCATTTTATACCCGTATAATATTGTATTTTATTAAATAAACAAAATCATTCCCCCCATTTTTCATACCATATACATGTTTTTATGAATTTACTTTGTATCATATTGATTCATCAGGCCTTTTGGTAACTTTTTCTCAAAACTATTTTAATTTTAGCTACAAACAAAGTTTACCCATAAGATTTTAATAAAATAGAAAACTTCGGGCAGTTTGTCTGCGTTTGTTTTTTACACTAAACAGTTTACAGTCTTTTTTATGTTTCTTAGTGAGAGGTGTAATAGCCGTTTCAGTCAATTGTTCATGCAAAGACAGACCTTACACCTCTCACAGAGAAGTAATTGCAAAGTTCTTTTGCCCTTTATGACTCCCATGTCTATCATTTTGTTTTGCCGAATGTAGTACAAAAAGTCCAAAAGCAAAGCAAGTTAAGGTGCTATAATCATTTATATAATTATCATACTGTATAATCAAAGCACAGTTACACTGCTGGCTATCAGGTTGCAATTCCACATCGCACAAACACTTTGGTGGACACGAGCACTGACTGCGCCTCTTGCTATGTGACTAACTTTGTTGACCAAGTCTGTTCTGGTTTACTATCCACTGGTTGACTGTTAGGGGGCAGCCATGGCATTCTTGTATTTTCTCAAAAGTACATGTTCAAGCCCTTTTCAACTTCGAGCACTAGCCCCTTGAATGGTCTCTGCATGGTAATGCTAACAGCAGACAGTCATCGGTTCTTTTGAACCTTTGCAATACATCTGGAACAATTAGATAGATTGTTCCAATCTGTCACTGCCATTTTCAAAATACATTTCAAGACACACACAGACACACTAGCAGCATTATGGACGTGATGTGCCACTATTCCAATATGTGTTTTTAGCTTTCTGTTGTGGTTATTTTTTGGTCAATAGTTGTTGATCATCTCTTGTAGGAATCTGCTGCTGTACCTACTGTGCCTGTGTACTCTGCTCAAGTACACAACTGCAGGTTAGTAGCACATCCTATTTCAATGACTTATGCTTGAATGACTTACAGTTGAGAATAGAGAGACATATTACCATATTACCCAAGTCTTATCAATTCTGTCTACACAGTTGCAGAGCTCAGTGACTGTACAGCTGGCGGGACCATATGCCATACTAATGCAGACTGCTTCAAAACACGTGATGATAAGTTTGTCTGCATGTGCCAAATGGGGTACAGGGGCACAGGAGTGCAATGCCAGGACATTGATGAGTGTACTACTGGTCTACACAGCTGCCATGCAAAAGCAGTCTGCACTAACACTCTTGGTAGTTATACCTGTTCATGTCAAAATGGATATTCTGGCGATGGATTCCAATGCCAAGATATCAATGAGTGTCAAACTAATAATGGTGACTGCCATGCCAATGCACTTTGCACCAACAAAGATGGAGGAAGAGACTGCAGCTGCAGGTCTGGTTTCAGTGGAAACGGATTTCAGTGTACGGATGATAATGAGTGTGCAAGACCAGGAATCTGCCACTGGAATGCCACTTGCACCAACAACCCTGGTTCCTACGTGTGCACGTGCAACTCTGGCTATAAAGGAAATGGAAATTATCTCTGCCTAGATGTCGATGAGTGTTCAGAGACACCTGGTGTGTGCTCTGCTTTATTGGGATATAAAGGTTGCAAGAACCTGCAAGGAACCTACACCTGCCTCTGTAACAGTGGCTATCAAAGCAATGGACAGACATGTGTGGACATCAATGAATGTCAAATCAACTTCTGCAGCCCATTTGCTGATTGTACTAACTTGCCAGGCTCATATCGATGCACCTGTCCTGAAGGATTTAATGGAAATGGCTTGGCATGTGTAGACATCAATGAGTGTGATAGAAAGAACAGCTGTGACCCCAATGCATTATGTACAAATCTGCTTGGAAGCTACAAATGTTCCTGCCGCTCTGGGTTCCTGGGTATTGGTACAAAGTGCACTGACATTAATGAATGTGCCACCGATAACATTTGCCCAGCCGTTGCTGCATGTGTCAACACAGCAGGTTCATTCTTCTGTGACTGTGGTCAAGGGTATAACTTTACTCAAAATCAGTGTGTAGATTTGAATGAATGTGCCATGGGACTTTGCAGTCCTTATGCTTCTTGTGAAAACATGCCTGGTTCATACAAATGCTCGTGCATAGCTGGTTTCAAAGGTGATGGACTTGTATGCGAAGACGTGGATGAGTGCGTCACAGAAAAGCGATGCCATGTTAATGCACTCTGTATAAATTCACCAGGGAAATACAACTGCAGCTGCATGGTGGGATATACAGGCAATGGTGTGTCGCAGTGCACAGATATAAATGAGTGTCTTGTTGATAATGGTGGCTGCAAAAACAGAGCAACATGTTCCAACAGTAAGGGGTCTTATTCTTGCATTTGCCCCTCAGGCTTTCGGCTAGTCAATCATACCACCTGCCAGGACATAGATGAATGTCAGCTTCCTGAAAAGGTTTGTGGCACCAACGAGCAGTGCACCAACCTGGAAGGATCATATTCATGCCAGTGTAAAGCAGGCTTCAGTCGAATCATTGATGACTTCTGCTCTGATATTAACGAATGTGACATTCAGAAACCTTGTCATCAAAATGCCACATGCTTGAATTTGGTAGGCTCCTACTCATGTACCTGCAAAAGTGGCTTCAAGGGAAATGGTGTAACATGCGAAGACATAAATGAATGTGCACTTGGTGGTATATGCCATCTACATGCTAATTGCTACAATTATATTGGGGAATACTTGTGTGTATGCCACCAGGGTTTTACAGGTGATGGTGTCACCTGTACAGATGTAGATGAATGTTATGTTTCAAATGCTACTTGCCCAGGAATCTCTGTATGTGTCAATTCGTTGGGAGCATATGTCTGTTCATGTCTGAACGGGACAGTAGCATACAACAACACCTGTGTCTTCCCTAGTCTTGAATGTGATCCTGCCTGCCATCCGCATGGACTCTGCCATCCCTCACCTTCTGGCTTTCAATGTGTTTGTGATGTTGGATTCAAAGGGGATGGACTCACTTGCTCAGACATTGATGAATGTGAAGAGAATGTGTGCCCAGAGAAAGAGACACAATGTGTCAATAATCCAGGATCTTTTGAATGCACATGCAAAGAGGGTTATTCTTTCAATGGAACCAAATGCACAGGTAGGTGCATTTTTAATTAATTGTTGATTATTAATTATGTTTTTATTAAACATTTAGCCTGAAAACTATCTTAAATGCACTGTAAACCAATATAGGAAAAAGGTCTATTGAGTCCAAAATGATATCTCTCAATCTTTCAGATTTGGATGAATGTGAATCTGGAGTCAGCAACTGCAGCAAGTTTGCACAGTGTGTCAATACAGTTGGGAGTCACCTGTGTTTCTGTCTCAGTGGCTTCACTGGTGATGGAAAAAACTGCTCTGGTAAGTCTCTTTTCCTTTTCAAAATTCTTTTGTGCACGTCTTTGCTTGCTTGAAGACTTTTTTCTTAGTCTTTTAGGGATTGTTTTCCTCACCCTGTCCCATTTTGGATGACTTATAGACATTAATGAGTGCCACTTCCAAAATGGAGGATGCCATCCAGTTGCAAGCTGCACTAACTTCCCTGGATCCTTCAAGTGCACCTGTCTGCTTGGCATGACCGGGTCTGGGTTTGATTGTCAGGATGTGGACGAATGCAACGCAAACTCAACTTTGCCTCATAACTGCAGTCTCCTCTCCACATGCCATAACACAGAGGGTTCCTACATTTGCAAGTGCACGGAGGGATACTGGGGAGATGGGTTTACTTGTAGTGATCTGGATGAGTGCTTTCCACCTTCAATCTGTGGGAACAACATGACCTGTCAAAACTTCCCTGGAACATTTACCTGCACATGCACCCTTGGTTTGGTCTATGATCTGGGTACCTGTGTGACTGAGAAGGACTGTAAGAATGCAACTAATGCATGCAACATCTATGCTGAGTGCAAAAACGTCCATGGGTCAAACTATTGCTCTTGCATGAAAGGATTCCATGGAAATGGTAGAGACTGCAAGGATTTAGATGAATGTTCACAAACAGGAGCTTGCCCAAATTTGTCCAACTGTTTTAACACAGAAGGATCATTTCATTGTGACTGCTTGCAAGGTTATCGGTACAATGGGACACACTGTGATGACATAAATGAGTGTAGTGTAGGAAACTTTAGTTGCCCTGTCAACAGCACTTGCTACAATGAAGTTGGAGGGTATAATTGTTCATGTAACAATGGTTTCATCTACTCCTACAACTCTGTGTGTTTGGATGTTGATGAATGTGCCACAGGGAAAGCACAGTGCCCAAATGCCTCAAACTGCCACAATACCATGGGATCGTATTCTTGTGAGTGCTGGGATGGGTATATAGGCAATCAGACAATCTGCGAAGATGTCAATGAATGCCTGAACAATTCTAGGTGTTCAGACCACAGTATCTGTGTTAACACCCTAGGTTCATTTATGTGCCTTTGCGATGATGGATTCACCCTTAATGGTACCAGTGATACCCAATGTGAGGACATAGATGAGTGCTCAAACCCAGACAATGGGTCAGTCTGCACTAATGGGACCTGCCTAAACACAATTGGCTCGTTTGGCTGTGTTTGTGATATGGGATTCAGGAGCAATGGAACTAGCTGTTTTGACATAGATGAGTGTTCAGGATCACAGAATGAATCGATATGTCAACTCCACTCTACATGTTCCAACATCCCTGGGTCTTATAAATGTCACTGTGACTCAGGTTTCCTGCTTAACAGAACAGAATGTCAAGACATTGATGAATGCCTTGCAGATGACAGTCCCTGCACTGCCAACTCTGTATGTATAAACTCAGTTGGGTCTTTCCGTTGTCTTTGTGCATCTGGGTTTAAGGAGGACGGACTAAAGTGTACAGATATCAATGAATGCCTTTCAAATGGAACCTGTCGTCCTGATCAGGTTTGCATCAACAAACCTGGATCATACCTGTGTTCCTGTCCACCAGGACATCAAGAGGAAAGTGGTAACTGCATTGACAACAATGAATGTGCAAATAACACTACCTGCCACCCTCTGGCGAGATGCTGGAACACAGTGGGGACTTTCACATGCCAATGTCGCTTAGGTTACGTTGGGAATGGGACATACTGTAAAGACATTGATGAGTGTTCCACTTCTTCCTCACGTTGCCACAAGTCAAGCAAATGCATCAATACCCCAGGGTCTTATGTATGTGTGTGTGCAGCAGGTTTTGTTGCATTAGGTTCTGTTTGCGTAGATCTTGATGAATGTCAGGCCAATAGAGGTATATGCCATCCTGCTGCCACATGCTACAACTCCATAGGTGGGTTTCAATGCCAATGTGGCAATGGTTGGGATGCCTCAGTTGGAAATGGACGTGGAATGGGTGGATGCATAGACCAGAATGAGTGTCTCTCACCCAATGTGTGTTATAGAAACAGAACCTGCACCAATTTCATAGGATCGTACAGCTGTGCCTGCTCTCCCAGAGATACCCACTGTTCACAGCTATCACTGATGGGTGGGCTATTATATTACATTTGTGAAATATTATGTGTGTTAAATAATACATCAATATTTAGTTTTAATATGCAGTATTTACATAAATTCTGGAATAACATGATGCAGACTCAAGGCTGATTTATACTTCTGCGTCAAGCGCACACGTATGCTACGGAGCTGCCTACGTGTTGACGCATAGCCCTACACTGTGGCCGTCAACTGGCTGATGCGCACCTCTCAATAAGTTTAACTACACGTTGCAATGACAAGTAGTGCAAGCTATGTGATTGGTCGGGTTGGTAGCGCTGACGAGTCTGGGCGGGATCGAGAGCCGCGCGAGCCCGATGAATCGATTGTTTACAAGTGTGGAGTCCCGTAAAGGAGCTCCGGATGAAAAGTTTTGTTTTGTGTTTACCTCATGGTTAAAGTTGTTGCACGTCCGCCAGTTCCTGCCTCAAAATGAGCGAGTTTGAGCCACTTGTACATTAAGGAAGCGTTCAGAAAAAGCAAAACACTAGCGAAAAAACTCCCCAAAGAGCAACATTAACACCTCACTGCCAACTAGCGTTTCGGAAGTGTTATTGCAGAACAACAGAAACAGCTCGCAGAAGTATGAATACATTGCATGCGCCATAGGTCATGCCGATCACTTGACGCAGAAGTATAAACCAGGCTTTATGTGACATGATGGCTACAATCATATCAGGACCTCCTCTTGATATTGCTGTTTAACAATGATTTGTGACTGCCATTTCAATATTATATAAATATCTAATGCAATCTCACAGCAACTTTTTGATTTAGTTGCTAATTTGTATGAATTCGTACGATCTAATTCATACAATTTAGTATGATTTGCTCATCACCCAATGACGGTTGGGATTAGGGGTGGGGTTGGATGCCAAGCCTCCTTTTTAAAATCGTACATTTTCGTACGACTGAACTCGACAAATTTGTACGAATTAGCCATTAAACTGACAAAATGTAAATACTTACGTTTCCTTGTGAGATCAAGTTGGAATATAATAAAGTAAATAAACAAAAACTTAGAATAAACTTTACTCCATTCCAGACATGAAACAGCAAAATTTTATTGTACAAAGGTCAAACTATTGAAAAATTTTGTGATCAGAAGGTGCAGATTGTTTTTGTGACCATCAAACAACAGTGGCTAACCAAGCATTTTGGTTGCGTTTTGTATATACTTTCACAGAAAGTGACCTGTATCCATTTGGAGAGGAAGCAGGTGATGCCAAGTTAACAATAACAACGGCAGATGGAATTTCTCCATACATCTTACCTCCTACAGGCTTCCTATTCATGGGCAAACAATATGAACGACTATTAGTAAGCATGCACAAATAACTGTTCACATTTTAATGACAATTCAAAGATGAATGAATTTGAATTTGGTAAACTATTGTACCATAAATACATTGTAACTATAGGAAACTGTGTTTAAGTTAATAGAGTCTTGATTTATTTTTAGTTTTCAGATAATGGCCTGGTGCAGTTTCAGTCAGTCAATGAGAATGAAAAACTGTTGCTCCCTGCTCCAATCCCAAAGGGGTTTCATGGTAATGAAAGCCTGCCTATGTTGGCAGTGTTCTGGGATGACGCAGACCTTACACTTGGGGATGGAAAACTACTATACCAGGTTAGTTTCACAAATACATAATGTCAACTAATCGTATGGTCTTGTTTCTACTATAATGTTGTGGGAACCACACAACTAAAGTGTTTAAAGTCTGTAAACTAAAGCAGACATTAATCAAACAGTCTACTAATACTTAAGAGAACTTTCAAAATAACACAGTTTATTTACTTTTTAATTTGAATCCAGTGGGTTAATCTGATTTTAAGGAGATATGCTAGTTAAATATTTGAAATTTGATTTCAGGTTGTATATACAGTAGTTCCACCCTGTGTAAGACAATATTTTGACAAGGCTAAAAGAACGCATTGTTTAAACTTCAATACTAAATTAAGACTCTATCCACTTCTCATATATACAAAGTGTATATATTTCTGTATATGCCTATTAAAAATGAGATTAAATTTACATTTTTAAATGACAAATATTTAAGTTTCTCTTGCCTTTTCACATATTTTCGTATGAATTATGGAAATCTTGGTAAGCATTCTCCTTTTCTGTCCACCAGGAATACAGTTTCCCCAATGTACCTGATATCTATGCTTTGACAGTGTTTAACAGAACAGCACAAGACGTTAGCAGATTTGAGTCTCAAAGGGGCAAACCCCCGTTTACTCCTATTTGGATACTGAAAATCACATGGGATCATGTTTTACCGGTATCCTATCAAAAGATCAACTTGTCTGAGGTGAGTGCTTGATGACTGAACACTAAGCAAGTTAAAGCATTATTAAGATACAATTAATAGTATTTGCTAATGCAGACACCACCATTACTATTATTAATATTGTTCATAATTTGAGTCAGGTATGACATTACAAACTAAAGTTAACATTAAGTTTTATACTTTTAATAATTTTTTTTATTTTATTTTATTTTTACTTCAATTGGGTAGGCTTAATTGTCCGTAGTGTATGAGTGTGAATGAGTGTGTATAGATGTTTCCCAGAGATGGTTTGCAGCTGGAAGGGCATCCGCTGCGTAAAACATATGCTGAATAAGTTGGCGGTTCATTTCGCTGTGACGACCCCAGATTAATAAAGAGACTAAGCCGAAAAGAAAATGAATGAATGAATTTGTACTTCATTACATACCAAAACAACATACTATACCCTGGAAACAAGCCTGGGCTATTTTTTGGGCCCCCAGTGGCCATGAGCAGCACACATCTAGCCCACTAGACACACTCAGTAAGCCCACATCTAGCCCACAGGAAGCCCAAACTAAGCCGGCAGCTAGCTCTCTGCAGCTAGCCGGCAGCTAGCTCTCTGCAACTCTCACATGGTCACATGGGAAAGCTAGGTTGCTGCCGGAATTGGTGTTAGTGAGGCCAGCAGGGGGCGCCCAACCTGCTGTCTGTGTGGGACGCTATACTGCTCAGTGAGCGCCGTCTTTCGGATGAGACGTTAAACTGAGGTCCCGACTCTCTGTGGTCGTTAAAAATCCCAGGATGTCCTTCAAAAAGAGTAGGGGTTTAACCCCTGCATCCTGGCCAAATCTGCCCACTGGCCTCTGTCCATCATGGCCTCCTAACCATCCCCATATTCAATTGGCTTCATCACTGTCCCCTCTCTACCAATCAGCTGGTGTGTGGTGTGCGGTCTGGTGCAAAATGGCTGCTGTCGCGTCATCCAGGTGGATGCTGCGCACTGGTGGTGGATGAGGAGATCCCCCCCATTGTGTAAAGCGCTTTGAGTGCCCAGAAAAGCTCTATATAAATGTAATGAATTATTATTATTATTACTAAGCCTGCATTGGCCCTGCATGATCAGTCATCACCTAGCCCACAGGAAGCCCCTCACTATGCCAAGATAGCAATTCTGCTTGTTACTGTAAAAGCTGCGATTTTCAAGATATCTCAGCTGAATTTAGTCTTGACAAATTTGCATGAAAACAGGCAAAATTATGCCAAATTAAGATACTATGAGATTTATTCTCTGCAGCGAGCCTGCTCCGGAGGTGGCTAACTGCCAAGCTTAGATTAATTCTAGTGATTTATCTGCTTGTTTTGTTGTCAATGCTACTAGAAATGATTGTGTTTTACAGTAACTCTATCCCCTCTTCCATTTACATATATTTTCCATCTATTACAAATAAAGGAGGACACGGTGGCTCAGTGGTTAGCACTGTTGCCTCACAGCAAGAAGGTTGCTGGTTGATAAGTTGGTGGTTCATTCCGCAGTGGCGATCTCTGATGAATAAAAGGAGTAAGCAGAAGGAAAATTAATAAATGAGTGAAAGATGTTTAACAGAGCAAGCAAATTGTCACAGTATTTCCTATATATTTTTTCTTCTAGACAAAGTCTTATTTGTTTTATTTTGGCTAGAATAAAAAAAATTAAGGTTGATATTATTAGCCCCTAGCTCGCTGATTCAAATGATCTTTTCGGGGTGTATGTCTTATAAATGATTTACTTATCTGATCTGTGTGGAGTTCAGCAGGTGAATGTGGTTTTGCATGTTTTATCTTGTATTATCATGAAGCTGTGTTTTAATCCATTTGCAGAAAGTTTCATATTACTCAAACATCTCAACAATCTAAATTTTAATCTTAAATCTAAAAATATAAATCTAAAGTTTTTTTCTTCCCGCCACTGACTTGCTTGGATTGGGACTTGTGGAGCTGCATATCGGTGAATTTTCTCTACAGTGTTTGAACTTTCAGCAATTTAAACCACACTGAATTAAACTAAACTGAACCTCAACTCTGAAATCTGGACTTTACAAGAACTATGTTAAGCTGCGTTCACACAGTCTACATTGTGAAAAGCTCTGTATAAATAAACATGAATTGAATTGTATTGTAAGGCAAAAACCCAAGTTAGGGCTCTATTTTGCTGGTCCATGCGCAAAGCGCAGGGTGCAAACACTTTCAGGGCGTGTCAGAATGGATTTTTGCTAATAAAAGGACGGGAAAATCCACTTTGCGCCGGTGCACATGGTCTAAAAGTGTTGAGTTTATTTTCTTAATGAGTTAGAGGTGTGTTTTGAGAATAAACCAATCAGAGTCTCATCTCCCATTCCCTTTAAAAGTCAGTTGCGTCATGCCATAAGCGCATTTGCTATTTCCATGACGTAAAGTAAGTGAAAGTGGAAAAAATTAGCATTTCACAAGCAAGAAAACAGTTAAACAGAGCATCTACAGCGTGAGAATGAGAGATAAATGATCTACTTTCACTTTCGCTCTCGTGAATAGTAAACCTTCACACATAGACATCAGTTAGCCCAAAAATAATTCATTTTGTTTGTTAAGCGCAAAGATTTGTTTCAAACCTATTTCTAAATTTAGTTCTAATTTCCAGCAAACAAATAAATGAACAATAATAACGAAGTGTGCTCAAAAACCTGAGTTATATCCTTAAAACACATGCTCTGCCCCATATGGTGTAAAACCTGCAGGTGGGCAAATCTAAGCTTGTTTTTAATAAAACAAATATAAATATGGATATAATAAATATTACTGCTAATAATAATAACATTATACAAAAGCAAATTGTTATGAATGAACTGAAAAAGCCTCCCGAGATGAAGAAGGCATAAAAGAAGCGTTTTTTGAATTTATGTAGGCTAGAAAAAAATATGTTTTTTAATATTTTAATCCTTTATATTTAAATCCTATATATATCCTTATTATATCCTATATATATCCTTAATTTAATTTTTTTTTTATATGTAAAGATATTTGAGTATTGCTCTACATCTTGTGTGTATTAAGCAGTGTGTAAGCGAGGTGCAACTCTGCGCTGGACTTTAGACCTTGGTTTGTTTTGGTCTAATGAAAAATCTATTATAGTTTCTCAAAATAGCAACGCGCCAGCAATGCGCCTCAACACACCTCCTTTTTAGACCAGAACACCTATGTGCGCACATATGAGCGCAAATGCATTTGCTATTTAAACAGTGTGGCGCAGCGCCACAAAACGACTCTTGCGCCAAGCTGAAACTAGCAAAAGACTATTGCGTCACGCCTTGCACCACATTGCGCCATGTGTATGATAGAGCCCATAATGTCACAGGCAAAGTAGTCAAAACACACTCCAACCAACAAACAAACCAAAAAGGTAATCCAAGAAACAATTATTCAAAAAAAATGTATTGCAGGTATAGCAGGCTAACAACCAGGTTAAGATTAATCCTTTCAGTTCTCTAATTTCTACAAGAAATTATTGTTTTTTTCTCTGTGAATGACCTCTAATCACTAATTAAAATTCATTTTATCCTGTTTTCTACAGACCAACACTTTCCAGTGCATTTTGACCACAGATGGATTACGTTCATTTGCTCTGCTTCGCTACAGTGACATGAACTGGGGTCCAGGACAAAGAACCCATCATGATGCTCTTATAGGCTACACAGATGGCAAAAACAACTTCCATAATGAGATTCCAAATCCGCCAAACAACTTGTTCAACTCTGGAGGGCGATATCGTCCTCAAACTGTGACAGGTAACACAGGCGAATTGGGGAAGCTGGTGTATGACTTAACAGGATCTGATAAAACCAGTTCAGATCCACAGAGGCAATGCCATATATGGGCCTTCAGTGAGCCAGATCCCAAAGAATGGGCATTAGGACTGGCAACATGTCCCTGTACTCGTGTACAGGCACAAGAAGATCTGGCCTTTGGCCCTGAGACTCTACCATCAGAACAGACTGCACAAGTGAGGGACCTGAGAAGTATGAGATGGGGTGGCAAAAGGGGCCGTGTTGTTCAGTCCATCCTCTTTAACAAACAAAGAGCAGGAAAGAGATGCCTGTATGATCCAGAGGGACCCCTGCTGGCTGGATACAGTGAAAGGTTCTTTACTGAAGACAAGACACAACAACATATAGGTAAAGTGATTCCAAAGCTTCAGGGAGTAATGGAATACAACTAACTTATTTAGAGAATGTAGTATTGAATAGTATTTCATTTCTGTTATATTTTAAACAGGTGGTTATTGAATTACGGTTTCATCCAAAAAGTATTTGACAGTTTTTTTTCCAATTGTTTGCACACAATTACTTGTACTTCAGACACAATGACTACAACATGTAACTGATGCATCAACCCCCTGAACCAATTCTGCTAAACTACAACCACAATTCCTGTTTTACACTCAAATTGCAGGTTTAAAACACACTTTTTTTTTTAAAACACTACACACAATTCTCGGCATTTTGCACAATTTTCAGAAAATCTCTCAGATTTTTGCGGAAAATCTCTTGTTTTTACAAGGAACACACTGTCATTCACAATTGTAAAGTCAGTTGTCCTACTTTGTATACTAACTCATCACATGAGTAAACATCTGTCACACAGAATTGCAATTTAGAAATCAGAGCTCATCTGGTTCACATGTAGTCTACTGCCCACCCATGTTTTTTAGTTGTGTATCTCCCCCTCCATATTCTCCATTCCTCAAACCTACTGAGCACTTTTTTCTGCCTGGAGATCAAAAGTGTATTACTGAAATCCACACACACGTATACCCCTTCTCTAAGCTATAGCAGTTGATGCTTTTTGTGGCTGGATTCGCCATGCAAGGTGACATTTCCCCCACTGCTTGGCCAGACCAAAACAGAAAAGAGGATGCAGTATAGCTGTTTTTTTACTGTAACTGTATTCAGTAAATACTTCTGTTGATGGCATATGTAGATCACGTTATCTGGAACTTTGTGTTGGCTGGGATGAATACTGTGTACACTGTTTTTGTGGGGAAAATACAGTAAAATATATTTGGTATTTGTATGTTTTGTATAAAAACAATATTCTGAAATATTTTACAATGCACTTATGTAGGCCTACTGTCTGTAGTAAGTGTATCACTGAACAAATAAGGCTTACAGAAAGTCATTATGATGAATGGAGAAGAAGTGGTCGTAGTGTTTTACATTAAGCACATCAGTGTTCAACTGATCTCATGAATATCTGTCTATTCATGTGATGGTTTGTGTGTGTCATCTGAAAACAAAATATCATTTTGAGAAGAAATCACATTGTTTTGAAAGTAGAGCTTCATTTTTCAGAAGAATTGAAGAGTTTTGCCTAAGGTGTGTCAGTTTTGTGATTTGTGAGTAGAGTTCTGACAATATGAGACCTGCTTTCAGAAAATGTGTGTACACAATTGGAAAAAAGTATGAATTACCAAAGTGATTATTTTTGAATTTCAATCTCATTTAGACATTAATGTCAACTGTAAGTGCCAAATAATGTAAGCTGCAATAAAAAATTAACGTTTTTACTTTGACATTCATAAGAAAACAAGAGGGATCATAATTCTGTGTGGGTGACACAGAGGTGCAGTGGGTAGTGCTGTCGCCTCACAGCAAGAAGGTCTCTGGTTCAAGCCTCGGCTGGGTCAGGTGGCGTCGAGATTAATAAAGGGACTAAGCCGAAAAGAAAATTAATGAATGAATAATTAATTCATTAGTCCCTTTATTAATCTGGGGCAGCCACAGCTGCAACCCATCTCTAGGAAACATCCACACTTACTCACTCACACTAATACACTACGGACAATTTAGCCCACCCAATTCACCTGTACCGCATGTCTTTGGACTGTGGGAGAAACCGGAGCACCCGGAGGAAACCCACTTGAACGCTGGGAGAACATGCAAACTCCACACAGAAGTGCCAACTGACTCAGCCGAGGCTCGAACCAGCGACCCTCTTGCTGTGAGGTGGCACTACGTACTGTGCCACTGCGTCACATGAATAATTCTGTGTAAGCTATTTCACATATGTTCACAGTTTCTCCTCAATAGAAAATTAGGGACTCAGAAAAATTAACTTAAAGTCAGAATTATAAGCCCCTCTGTTTATTTTTTCCCCTATTTTCTGTTAAACAGAGAGATTTTTTCAACACATTTCTAAACATATTAGTTTTAATAACTAATTTCTAATAACTGATTTATTTTATCTTTGCCATGATGACAGTGAATAATATTTAACTAAATATTTTTCAAGACCCTTCTATACAGCTTAAAGTGACATTTAAAGGCTTAACTAGGTTAATTAGGTTAACTAGGCAGGTTAGGGTAATTAGGCGAGTTATTGTATAACGATGGTTTGTTCTTTAAACTATCTGAAAAAAAAGAGAGCTTAAAGGGCTAATAATTTTGACCTTAAAATGTTGTTTAAAAAAATTAAAACTGTTTCTATTCTAGCCAAAATAAAAATAATAAAAAATTCTCCAGAAGCAAAAATGTCATCAGACTTTTTAGACTTTCAGACTTTTTTATTATCATTTCATTGCTTTATTTTGGGAAATATTTAAACAGGAAAAAAAATGAAGGGGGCCAATAATTCTGAATTCATCTGTATTGTTTTGAAGTCAGAATTATTTCTTCCCTTTGATTTTTTTTTCTTTTTTTAAATATTTCCCAAATGATGTTTAACAGAGCAAGGAAATTTTCACAGTATGTCTGATATTATTTTTTTCTTCTGGGGAAAATTTGTTTTATTTTGGTTAGAATAAAAGCAGTTTTTAATTTTTTTTAAAACCATTTTAAGGTGAAAATGATCAGCCCCTTTAAGCTATATATTTTTTGATAGTCTACAGAACAAATCATCATTATACAATAACTTGCCTATTTAGTTAATATATATATATATATATATATATGGGTTAAATTACTTTTTCAAGTTTGATTTAGAGTCCATTTTAAATTAAATATTAATTCTAACCTTGCCTGATTTATTTTCATGTTGTTTCTAGACAATGATCTACTACCCTTTCAATGGTGCTGTGTTCAATCACCTCTTTGTGATGTCTACTTGGCAAAGAGACCACTAGACCGGTGCCAAGGGTATAGCTGGAACAGCTCTGACAGCAGTATACCTGGGAACAGGGGAGCACCAGGAATTGGTAAGAATGCTATGCCCCATCAACTCCTTTATGCAAGACTACCAGGGGATATAATGCTATTAAAAGAAGTATGGAAGAAACAACAAATCAATTAAAATTGATATACTATTTTGATTAAATAAATAATAGACAGCATTAATAATTCAATGATACAAGTGGAATTGCTGCATTATATATGTATAATAAAAAACAACATAAAACTTCTAGAGTTAATACATTTCTGTCCGATTTTGTCATTTTTTAAGAAATTAGCCTACCTGTTCTACATTTTTCTTTTTCCATGTAGGCATGGTGTATGGTAGTCTTCATTTTATCACCTTTGATGGAAGTGAATATACCTTTAAAGCCGTGGGGGAGTATGTTATACTTCGTCTCTCCTCCAGCACGGGATCAAACATCTTCACTCTTCAAGGACAAACAGTGGCTCTGGTGGTCAATGGGCAGGCCAAACAGGTACCTGCTCTGGTACGATTAGCCGCCTTCCACCAGGGTGCTGGAAAGGTGAGTCTGACATTTCTAACATAAAATGCAGGTGGACAGGTATAAGTGTGGTTGTCACAATGTAAAGATCATCAAATGATTTCTCTTAAGGTTGAGTGGCGATGTGCTGAATCTGGGGATGGGCTTGCGATCTTGGTTAATGATAAGGTCATTCCTGTGTCTGTTGGTAAGGAGACTTCATTTTACATGCTCATGCAAAGAGATAACAATGCTGTTCTTTTATTGTAAACACTAGTCTTAAATTATTACAGTCATTTAGAAAAACAAGTCATGGAATGGCTTTGTCTAACATTACTATTCACAACAAGTCTTCTCTGTGCCTGTGGATAGAAAAGTAGCCTTCATTGCTGTGGAACCTGTAGGTTATTTAGGTACTTTCTAACTACTGTTTGATGAATACTGTCAATTTGGACATGCTAATCTTTTCACATACTGTTTTAGCCTGCTATACCGTAGGAAAGTCAGGTGTGCGATTTCAGGTGCTCCACCTGTATTGGTTTTAACTTAGCACCCTCTGCTGTTTTTACAGGAGTGGTGCATGTAGAGGAGGAGGCCTTCGCAGTGCGCTGTACCTCTGCGAGTCGCTGTGGAGTTGTGTATGGTGAAGGCCTGAATGTGGTCGTTTGGAGAGGTGATGGTGGGAGGTTGTCCGCTCTGGTGGAGGTTCCTCAGAGGTTCTACAATCGTACACTGGGTTTGCTGGGCCAATGGAGCTCAAACAGGATAGATGACTTCCTGCTTTCTAATGGCCGTCTGGTGCCTGTTTTAAATAACAACACTCCTTCGGAGCAGATTCTGCTTTCCTTTGGACAGTCATGTATGTGTATTCTTTCGTTTTCCTCAGTATTATATTAGTGAGATAATGTGAATATGGTAGAAACTGCAGTTTATGTCAAATGAATTACTACATTCAACATTAAGAAGCATTATATTGCCATTCATTCTTTTATAATTTGCTTTCCCTACTGAAAAATCCGGCTTAAACCAGCCTAGGATGGTTGGCTGGTTTTAGCTGGTCGACCAGCCTGGTTTTAGAGGGGTTTTTGCCACTTCCAGCCTGGTTTTAGCTGGACAGGCTGGGAGATGACCAGCTAAGACCAGCTTGACCAGCCTAGCCAAGCTGGGAGCCCAGCCAAAACCAGCTATGTCCAGCTTAAACCAGGACGGTCAAGCTGGTTTTAACTGGTTACTTTCCAGCCTGGCCAGCTAAGACCAGGCTGGAAATGGCTGGAAACCAGCCTGGCGGTGACCAAAACCCCTCTAAAACCAGGCTGGTCGACCAGCTAAAACCAGCCAACCATCCTAGGCTGGTTTAAGCTGGATTTTTCAGCGTTGGTAGCTACCAAGTATCCAGTAACAATCACCAGTTGTTTTGGATGTTAATGAGCTTGTGTAGGTATCCAATCCAGAGGGTGATATAGGAGTTTTAAATTCCTTTGTAATGTCCTTGTGATGTCATGAACATTAATAACAATCATATGGGAAACTAGGTGAATTGAAAAATTGTTGTTTACAGGACAACTCTGCATTTTTCTCTAAGATGTTTTGAGAGGCCACTGAATTTATGCATACTTGTGTTTTTCTACAGGGGCTGTTCCGGCTCCAGAGAGCCTTCTGTTCTCAGAACCTCCTAGTACTCCATTCAATCCGGTCATGACCGAGCAAGTGATGTCCTCAGTGAGCCCAGATGTGCTGGCCAAACACAGCCAGGCTTGCCAGGGCAACATGCAGTGTGTGCATGACATCCTGGCCACAGGAAATTCAAATCTCGGCAAGGATGTTCTAAGAGACCAGCAGCAGCTTCAAAACCTAACACAAATATATGGTTAGATGACTTTCTTCCTTTATCTCACATACATATCTGGTAACACTTTACTTGAAGGGGTGTTCATAAACATGATACGTCACATTATGAATATAAATGAGATTTTTAGGGTTCGTGTGAAGAAAACCAAATCCTGTCCATTTTCAAAACTCAGCTAAGGTGCCCTTGAGCAAGGCGTCTAACACCTAACTAGTCCCTAGTTATTAAATGCATTAGTAAATCATTTAAATATGACAACTTGACACATGGCTTCCCAGTGGCGCAGTGGGTAGCATGATCGCCTCACAGCAAGAAGGTCACTGGTTTGAGCCTCCGCTGGGTCAGTTGGCGTTTCTGTGTGAAGTTTGCATGTTCTCGGTTTGCATTTGTTGGTTTCCCCTAAAGTCCAAAGACATGTGGTACAGGTGAATTGGGTAGGCTAAATTGTTCATAATGTATGTGTGTGAACGGGAGTGTATGGGAGTTTCCCAGTAATGGGTTGCAGCTGGAAGGGCATTCGCTGCGTAAAACATATGCTGAATATGTTGGGGGTTCATTCCGCTATGACGACCCTGGATTATTAAAGGGACTAGGCCGAAAAGAAAATGATTGAATGAATGAACTTTACACATTATACAGTGCATCATATCCTGTCTTGACTTAACTTATCATAAATTATCATACATTTTTCTGATCACTTTCTCAGTGTCATTCATTCATTCATTCATTTTCTTGTCGGCTTAGTCCCTTTATTAATCCGGGGTTGCCACAGCGGAATGAACCGCCAACTTATCCAGCAAGTTTTTACGAAGAGGATGCCCTTCCAGCCGCAACCTTTCCCTGGAAAACATCCACACACACATTCACACACACACTCATACACTACGGACAATTAAGCCTACCCAATTCACCTGTACCGCATGTCTTTGGACTGTGGGGAAAACCAGAGTACCCTGAGGAAACCCACGGGAAGGCAGGGAGAACATGCAAACTCCACACAGAAACCCCAACTGAGCCCAGATTTGAACCAGCGACCCTCTTGCTGTGAGGCGACAGCACTACCTACTGCGCCACTGCCTCGCCACTTTCTCAGTGTAACAAACTGAATGACACAATTATAATGACCATATAACAGTCATGTTTATGACAGATTTATGACATGTTATAGTATATTGTCTTGGTTGTGTCAGGTTTTTTTATAACTAAGACACTGGCTGGATTTGTTGTCTTGGTAAGGTCAAGTTATCATAAAGACATCTTAAACAATGTAAACTTTGTATTTAAAAGGACATAACTATGAATTACACTTCCATGAATGATAACTATGAATCACACACCCAGCGCAATAATGCGCAGGAGGTGTATGGCACGATTTGTTGCAACTTTCAAACCAGCGCAACCCTAATTTTCACGTTTTGAAAATTTCTGGTGGATTCGTGAAAAACAAAAACTGCAACCAAAAAAAAAAAGAGACCTACAAGGACTTATTTGGTGCTCTCCAGAAATGTATATAGGGATATGTTTTCAAAATTGAGCCTAGGTTGTTATTAAAACACATAAAACAACTGTTAACATTTAAAACATTGTAAAAAAAAAAAAGGCCTGTGTGATTTTCATAAGGTTAACTGTTAACAGTGTTTCCAATTGTGGTAAAATTTTCCAAGATTTTAAAAAATATCTCACTATAAATGTTTTATAAAATTCTAATTAGTTTCAAGTTAATTGTGAGTGATAAAATGTTCTTCTTGGTATTTACAAAGCATTCCTTTAATAATTCAATGATTTAAATCAATTACATTCTTAGTGTTTTTTAATCACTTCATTCTTTTGCATGACTTCTACAGGGATCATGCCACCCATTGTGACAGAGCCACTGGTTATCATGTGCAAGGTTAACAGTACAGTTAAAGTTCAGTTCAAGGCCCAGGATCCAAACAGGGACCAAATCTTTTTTTCCCTGGCCTTGCCACGCTCTCCACAGGTCACCATCGGCAGCAGTAAGATATATTGCAAAACATTTTATTTTTAAAGCTTATTTACAGTGTAATATTCATGTCTGTGAGATTGTTAGATCTATTTCAAAAGATTTATACGGAGTTATTGCCATTAAACATTGTTCTCTACATTTTGGTTCATTAATATTTCACAACATGACTGATTGATTGTGTCATAAAGGTGATGGTGTCCTGGTGTGGACCCCTTCAAGTATTCAGCAAGTGAATCTGACCATTCAAGTGAGCGATCAAACATCTAGCTCATTGATCACACCAGTTCTGCGGCTCTGTAACTGTATGAATGGAGGGAGCTGTCAGTATAACAGTGTGGCCGAGAACCTTTTATTGGGAAAGTTCCAGGTAAGCCACAACCGTAACATTACACAAACAGTAGTCAGCTCAGCTGCAAAGAAACTGGCTTTGTGCGATTGTACCACCAGTTGGGAGTGCTCATGAACAAAAAAAGGGTCAAAGCTGTAATTTAAAGGATTGTTATTAAAATAAAAAATTACATTTCTGAATTTGAAAATGTAATTTGTTTAAATGATGGTTAAACTCATGTTCAGCAGTTATTACTTTAGTCTTCAGTGTCACATAATATTCCAGAAATCATTTTAATTTGCTGCTATAAATTGGAGCTAAGTTGGCGGTTCATTCCGCTGTAGCGACCCCGAATTAATAAAGGGACTAAGCCGACAAGAAAATGAATGAATGAATATAAGAAATATATATACAGTTGAAGTCAGAATTATTAGCCCCCCTCTGAATTTTTTTTCTTTTTTAAATATTTCAAATTTTTAACAGATTCAGGTAATTTTCACAGTATGTCTGATAATATTTATTCTTCTTATTTGTTTTATTTCGGCTTGAACAAAAATCATTGTAATGTAAAAATTATTAGCCCCTTCAAGCAATATTTTTTCGATAGTCTACAGAACAAACCATTATTATACAATAACTTGCCTAATTACCCAACCTGCCTAGTTCACCTAATTAACCTAATTAAGCCTTTAAATTTCACTTTAAGCAGTGTCTTAAAAAATATCTAGTCAAATATTATTTACTGTCATCATGGCAAAGATAAAGTAAAAAAGTTATTAGAAATTAGTTATTATGTTTAGAAATGTGTTGAAAAAATCTTCTCTCCGTTAAACAGAAATTGGGGAAAAAATAAACAGGGGGTCTAATAATTCAGGGACTTCAACTGTATATATATATATATATATATATATATATATATATATACTTTATTAAAGTAAACATTCATTTTTCAACAAAATGCAATGCAAAGTGTTTGCAACCAACCTCCAAAAATCATATTTTCCCATTTTACTATACACTGATTTTTTTAGAATGTACCAAGTTTTAACCTGGTGTGTACATTGGGGTTTGTGGTAATTTGGGCACATAAATGTGGAATGCTCCCTAAAGACAGTCAAACATGTTTTTTTTTTGTGTACATACATTTAGATCGTGGGATGTCTTTGTCCAGCGGGCTTCAGTGGCAAGTACTGTGAAAACAGAAGTGATGTGTGTAAAGGCAAACCCTGTTTTCCTGGTGCGGAATGCATAAGACAGAAAGAAGCAGACCTGTTTACTTGTGGACAGTGCCCTTCTCCTACTGTATCCCAGGACAAACAAGGATACAAATGCTTTGAAAATGGTCAGACGTTACTCAAAATGCACAAATTAGTATTTTTATTTTGGTATTCATCTTGCAATACCTCAAATTGCAGCTTGTACATTAAAACTTTAGTCTTTCTGTCTATTTTTGTAACCAGAGTTTATCTAACCCTGTCCTACAGACTTCTGCCTTCCTCCATTCCCCTTCCCCTGCCATGAGATGGCAGAATGTACAAGCACTGGCTACAATTACACATGTAAATGTAAACATGGCTACACTGGAAATGGACATGAGTGCAAAGGTATGCCATATGAATTGACATTTTTACTGTCACTTTGTGACACACTTGTACTTAGCTGGTTTCATATCGCCCACAGATATTAATGAGTGTCTGAACCCCTCTGCTTGTCCCAATGCCAAGTTTGAATGTGTGAACTTGCCAGGATCAGTGCGGTGCTCATGCCGTTATCAGAAAACCAGAGATACTGATGGCTGTGGTAAGTGGTTTCTTTGTTTTTTAAAAGTTATTCAAATAACCAGTGCTGCATTCCATTCAAACTGGTTATGACCTTCCTTAACTACTTCAAAAAACATTAAAGTGGTAGAAACACTCCACCCTATTGGTCAAAATGTGTAAATGCATTAGAGGTTGCAATTTATACTTTATTAAAGCAAGTGGTGCTCGCTGCAGAGCCATTTGAGGAGAGCTGAGCTCCAGCGAGGGGGAGCTTTAGCTTGAGCTCCACCTTTTTTTGCACTTCTTCTACGAGTGATGTCACTGGGGGTAGGGTTAGGGGTGGGGTTGGTGTACGCATTAAAACAGCTTACAGTAGGAGGAGCGACAGCTCATGCTCCACCTCGCTGGAGCTCAGCTCTCCTCAAATGGCTCTGCAGCGAGCACCCTACCCTTCCTATGCAAATAAATTTTAGCTGAATATCTTATGAGAGCAACAGGACTACATCAGACTACATTTGTGCATACCCCGAGAACTGTTTGACCAGCCTTTGGATTAAAGCTAATAATATTGTAAATAACCGATCATTTCACTTCACAAAACCTAAGTGTATCATTTTTTGAAATGTGCAAGAACCAAAATTTAAATATGTGTTTATATATATTAAAAAACATATTTATATGCGTGTGTGTGTGTGTGTGTGTTATTCTCTAATAACCAGCTGGATGTGCATTATTCCTTACTTAATATGTTATTAATTAATATGGTTTTAATATGTAATAATATGTTAATTATTTTTCTTCTATTAATTTTGTTGAACATAAACCATTGTTACACTGAGCGACATTTTTAAATCTATCTTCTGTAAAGCATGGTAAAATGTATGATAGTTATATTTGTATTACAAAATAAAATAAAGCTATTTAACTTTGTTTTGACACTTTTTTTGTCTATTATTTTCTAGGTGAATCTGCTAATCCAACAGGTGAGACTGAAAATGTCATTTTAACTTCAATGTAGAAATGAAATACAGTGTAATGCTATGAGGTAATCCTGCTAACCACTTAACCAATAAGTAAATTGTAATTATTTTTTAAATATTTTCTAAGTGCTGTTTATTTTTGCAAAATTAAAAAAAATACTAGTTTTAATAAATGACTTATTATAACTAATGTCCTTTGGTTTTGACATTATTATAGTAAATACTATGTTTCTAGTTATTTTGTATATTAGTATTCAGTTAAAAGTGGAAATTAAAGGCTTAATTAGGTTAAATTGGTAAGTTTGGCAATGTGGTTTGCTATCAGTCCTAATAAAAAATATTTATTCAAGCTAAACTTAAAGAAATGAGACTTTCTCCAGAAGAAAAAAAAAAATATAGGAGATACTGTAATAATTTCCTTGACTGTTGAACATCACATGGGTAAAATTAGAAAAAATAACAAACAATTCAATATTTTTGCCTTTAACTATATAAACAGGAGGGTAAAATAAGTGTTAAACACATCACAATTTTGCTTAAGCTGATTTTGACATGAAATTGCCTAAGATTTTAGTAAAAACACAAACATATATGATTAAACCATGTTGCATCTCTCAAGAGTGAACTTTTCCCCAGACTTCAACAGAATCTAGACAGTTTTGTGGGTCTTGTTTATCATCTTCGATCTCATTCATTTTCTTGTCGGCTCAGTCCCTTTAGTAATCCAGGGTCGCCACAGTGGAATGAACCACCTACTTATCCAGCAAGTTTTTAAGCAGCGGATGCTCTTCCAGCCGCAACCCATCTCTGGGAAACATCCACACACTCATTCATACACACACAGTCATACACCACGGACAATTTAGCTTACCCAGTTCGACTGTACAGCATATCTTTGGACTGTGGGGGAAACCAGAGCACCCGGAGGAAACCCACGCAAACGCAGGGAGAACATGCAAACTCCACACAGAAATGCCAACTGAGCCGAGGCTCGAACCAGCTACCCACCAACCTCTTTGCTGTGAGGCGACAGCACTACCTACTGCGCCTGATCTCTAGTTCTTATTTTCTACTGGATTCAGGTCAGGTTATTGGCTGGGCCACTTTAGCTGCTTTTTCTTTTATGAAACCAATTGGGAGTTTATTTGGTTGTGTTTGGGATCATTGGCTGTTTCTCAATTCCAAGAACACAGAGAACGGCCTTTCGTTCTTGTGGAGACCGGTCTTGCCAGGTGTCCTCGGAAGAACGAACTCAGGAGACCGCGAGGGCAGAGAACGCATCCTTTGAGAATTGAGATGCTGCATTCTTCCTGATGGTCACATGACCTTCACGTGTTTTAAATGGTAAATTATTTAAACATTACAGCACTCATACAACGATTTATTGTTTTTCCCCTCTTCAAAATATATACTTTGCATAAAAACATTATAAATATACTCTACACAATATAAATAAAACACATTTTAATACGAATTTCAGCAAATAAACACCCTTAATGTGTTCATTCCTATATTAACATGTTCATGGTAATGTTTACTTTCACCGTTTCCTTTAGGGAAACTCCTGAGGTAAATAAGTGATATCTCTGAACTTTAATAATAAATCTAAATAAAATGCTGCGCTTCCCACCTCCAGTCGCAATGACTTCTGGGACTTCCAGAGCGAGTTCGGTGCTCAAGTCTGCATCGGTGCGTCCTCGATATCAAGAACACATCCGGGAAGTTTCACACGTCCTCCGTACTTGCGGTCTTGAGTATTGGAACTGAACTTAGGCAGCTGATGATGACGTTGCACGAGAACACGAGGACGCAAGACCGCTGGAGAACGCATATTGAGAAACAGCCATTGTCTTGCTGAAATGTCCACACTGGTTGCATCTTCATCATCCTGGTAATGTAGGTGTTGGGACTGAAGCAGCTAATAATATGTTACACTGATGAGGGGCAGGGTTGCATCCTAACTACTGAGAGATACTGTATGGGCTTTCCATGCATTTTTTACAACTCACTTTCTTCATGTGTTCATTTTCTTTTTCCTGTATAATATTTTATTACATTTTATATATATTTTTGTTACACACTTCATTTCTAAACTATTTAGTTTTCTGTTGTTTGAATGGATTACTTTAGTTGTTGCTGAAAATTTTGAAGCTCTTTTAAAAATATGTAAGAAAAATCCTTTTAGAAATCTTAGATCGAAAATTCGAACATAACATTGATCTAGGGTGACACGGTGGCGCAGTGGGTAGCACTGTTGCCTCACAGCTAGAAGGTTGCTGGATCGAGCTGCGGCTGGGTCAGTTGTCATTTCTGTGTGGAGTTTGCATGTTCTTCCTGTGTTTTGTGGTTTTCCCCTGGGAGTTTTGGTTTCCCTCACAGTCCAAAGACATGCGGTACAGGTGACCTGAATAGGCTATATTGTCCGTAGTGTATGAGTGTGTGTGTGAATGTGTGTGTGGATGTTTCCCAGAGATGGGTTGTGGCTGGAAGGGCATCCGCTGTGTAAAAACTTGCTGGATAAGTAGGTGGTTCATTCCGCTGTGGCAAGCCCGGATTAATAAAGGGACTTAGCCGACAAGAAAATGAATGAATGAATGAATGCATTTGCAAGAGCATGTGTTTTATGTTTGTATATGCAGATAAATCCCCCAAATTGCACCATGAGATTTATATCAATGTGCTTTTTTTCTTTAGGCTGGAATGTTTTTAATGTGTCTGTGGATTGGGGGAGTCAGGACTCTGGACAGGGACTGAGTCAGGTCAGTGCATGGATCTGAGATGCCACATAAATAGAAAGACACGGCATGTCATTAACACTTCAACTCAGGACAAATTTAATTATAATGCTTCTGCTTTCTCTACAGATGGAGCAGATCCTGTCACTTGGTTTTCAGAATAAGTTTTACAATGCCAGTGCTAAAGCTCCTTCAGCTTCAGGGGGCAGCCAGAGTGAGTACAGAATCAATGTATCCAGCGACACGCCACACTGGTATGTCATGGACTACCTGACCCGAGTTAGTCAGTACTACGGCATCCATTCAGCCTCTGTTGAGGGTAAGCCATAGTACAGTGCAGTATCATTTGCACTTAGAGTATAGCACTTGAACTTGACTTTGATTGGTCATTGTATATTTAATAGAAAGCGATTTAATGTTCAGACCTGATTATGGAGACAAATAGTCCTACTAAGAGTGTGACACTGCTTTTACTGTATATAGAGTTCAGTAAGCAAAGTTATTTCATTGTTAATTACTGAACTCAACATTTAAAAAGCTTATATTTTAGACACAATGATCGCTAGTTATGTGTATTTTTGCTCAAATTCAAACTGTTCCAAAACAAAGGTGGTCAACTGGTATTCCTGGTTTTCTTTAGACCTTGACGAATGTAAGACAGATGAGGGTCCATGTTCGAAAACAGCCCAGTGTGTCAACACTTATGGTGGTTACAGGTGCTTGTGCAATGGCACTGATTTAAAGGAGGAATCCCAGTCTTGCTTTCCAGGTAAGAGCAGAACTAAGGATTCTGTGTTTTTTTTTAAAAGCCATTATTGTACAATACCTTAAGGGTATGGCAAGCTGGTTTGGCATTTAATCTATAACCTGTACTAGTATCTATTTTCATGTTGCTAGTGCTTATTTTTTAGATACTAGTATTTTTTCTATTAAGTACTATTAAGGCACGGGAAACAAGGGAATTGCTAACAGGTGAGACCACATACAAAAAACTAGACACAAGAGGGAGACAGAGAAAACACAAAAAACCCTGACACTAATAAAAAGAACTAGTGTAATGAGTAAGCACTAGTTTATTTTTTAAAGCACTAGTATCTAGTATCTAATGAATAAGTACTAGTACTTAATGGAAAATATACTAGTATCTAAAAAAATCACTGGTAACATGAAAATAGATACTTGAACGGGTTATAGATTAAATGTGAAAACCACTTGTCATATACAGATTTTCTTTCTTTCTTTCTTTCTTTCTTTCTTTCTTTCTTTCTTTCTTTCTCCTAACCAAAGAATGGAAAGGTAACAACCGCACAGACATTTCCGATGTGGAGGATAAGAAGTCGTTCATTTTGGGGCTGGTCCTGGGCATCGGCATCCCTCTTCTACTTCTGCTGCTGTTGGCAGCCCTTGCCTGCTTCTGCTGCTCAAGAAAGAAAACCATTACTGGGGAGTGAGTGTCCTCCTGATACATACATTAGCAATGTAGGATTTACATGGGTCAGGAAATGTTTTTAAAAAGATCTATTCCAGACACTGAAAGTCAGGATTTATTTATAAAGTTATTAGCCCCCCGTTTATTTTTTCCCCCAATTTCTGTTTAATAGAAAGAAAAAAAATTTCAGCACATTTCTAAATGTAATAGTTTTAATAACTCATTTCTTATCACTAATTTATTTTATCTTTGCCATGATGACAGTAAATAATATTTGACTAGATATTTTTCAAGGCACTTCTATACAGCTTAAAGTGACATTTAAAGGCTTAACTAGGTTCATTAGGTTAATTAGGCAGGTTAGGGTAATTAGCCAAGTTATTGTATAATGATGGTTTGTTCTGTAGACTATCGAAAAAATATAGCTTAAAGGGACTAATAATTTTGACCTTAAAATGGTTTTAAAATTTTTTTAAAACTGCTTTTATTTTAGCCGAAATAAAACAAATAAGACTTTCTCCAGAAGAAAAAATATTTTCAGACATACTGTGAAAATGTCCACTGTATATATATTGTCCAAACAATGGATTATTGTGGATTTTTGTTTATCGCTGTAAATACAGGGCCGTGTGCACTCACGATTTTGGAGTGTCTATTTAGGCTAAGTGCAAATAGCGCACCTCATTGGAATAAGCTATTTGAGCAACTTACCCTATCACTGTTTGATTGACAGACGCAAAATAACTAAAGAGCACAATTGACAGCAGCGTGAGTGTCATAGCTCGTAAAGCATGTGGCAACATGTTATGACACGATCGATCATCAACCAGTTCGAATCCAGCGTCTGATAAACTCATTCTTCTTTTTTCCCCATTACATGTCAGATTGGAAATGCGTTTATTTTAAATAGAAAGGAAATATTTTTGTTTAAAAATTAAAATAATGAGAATGTGATATAAAGTCACAAGTGGCTTGTGGGTATTTAATAAGGTTTAGCTTATCAGCATCTAAATAGTGATTTAAAATATTCTATAAACAGTTATTTTCCACCTGGTGTTAAATGTTAGCGATTTCTTAATATAACTAATTTGTATTTACAAATTTTTTATGTGATCTATAACATGTTGCCAGGTAAGAAAAAACACATCAGTACAACCTCTTACAGTATATCTTATTTTTTCTAATGTCTGGAAATTCAGCTTTAGAGTAAAAGTCAGGCAAAAATCTGGGAAATATTTGGCTTTAGAGTGGAAACCCTGGATTTTGTACTGTCTATAGATACAGTTTTGCATACTAGACGTGTTTGTGCCAGCAAATAGGTTTATAAATGGTGAAAAAGGGAATACTGAATATGTAAATGTTGTATACTGTATCTGTTTACTTTCATGACATGTCTGACATCAAGGCACCCGATTGAATTGCTAAATTATTTGTTTTATGGATTTGGTTGACAAAAAAAGCTTGATGCTGGATCCTAACTCTGTTTTCTCTCTCTCTTCATCAAGTATTCCTCACCTGCTGCCCGAGTACATTCAGGAGCACTTCAACCCCCCTTTTAACTTTGATGACCCCTCTCTGCACTATAAACCTCATTGCAGCCCGCGTATCCTTGATAACCTCACGCCCAGACACAAGCATCAGTACAGATAACACAGCGGACATTTGTATTTAAAGGAAACCCCAAAATGATATTTAATTTGAGATAGACTGTTGACTTTTTAAGTCCTGTGTGTAAATAAAGGTGTCCAGGATGCATAGCCTCATTTTACAGTTTTTTACAGACCAATTTCTTAATACTTTAGTAATTTTTGCAAAACTCTTCACACAAAGTCGTCTATCAGCTTGGCAAAGCAGTTCATTTCACATTCAAAATGCACTACAACTACCAAAACACTTTATTCAGGTCTCAAATAAACTCATTCTTCCAGAACACTAGCAAAGCAATTACCTAAAAACACTAACAACATGCTGCATTACACACATAACATTACACACAAGCACAATTCTCTATTTATAATTGCAATATATATTGTTTATAACTGCAGTATATGTTACTGGAATGAATCAGACATGATGCAGAATTCCTCAATATTTTATTTCATTTATTTATTAAAATGTTTTTTTGCACTACTGTAAGTACTTTTAAAATACAAGAGTTTGTATACACACCATCCACTGATACAGAATAGCAATGCATTCAATAGCAATAGCAATCAGGCTGGTTAAACTGCATTTTTAGATTTGATATATGTTTCAATAAAATATTGCTGTTGAATTTTGCTGTCTTTTTCAGTTTTGCATTATGTTATTGTTGTAAACAGAAGTTTAACAGTTTTGAAAACAGTATATAAGCACGTGCAAAATGTCATTTTTATGCTCATTTAGGACAAATTTAGTTGTGTTTGAAAAAAACCCACCAAGATCTACACCTTTAGATGTTATTATTAATATTTATGTGTATATGTCTGCTCAAACATGCACCCAAAACCCATGTTTCATCAAAAAATGTCATCAAATAATTCATGAAATTTGAGAGATGTAGTCATTGACTCGACTTTGTGCAATGATATTGATCCTCAGTTTGGCCCACATGGACTTCTGTTGTGCTCACTGTGGGAAGAGTTTTGCAAAAGTGACTCAAGCATTAAGAAATGTGTCCAAGCGTCTGTAAAAACTGTAATGTCTTCGATGCTAAAATAAATATGAATTTGATGCAATTTAATGTATGCCTTTATCAGTAATAAATATAAAGCACCGTTAATCCCAGTCAAACATCATCAGATACTTTGTTTTGACCATGATGTTTGTACACCCATTAGCAAATTTTCTTTAAATGTAAAAAAAGAATGATTTCTTTTTAAAACGTGATTTTTGTGTTGAACTGAGGAGTCAGTAAACAATTTTTGTAAAGAAAATAAATGTATTAAATAAATGTAATTTTTTTAGATCAGTATTGACAGTATATGGTGAGTTGCTTAGCTGTAGTTTAATGTTTTGGGGGTTTTTTTGATAATTTTTTTTGGATACACTCTTGATACATCACAAAAACTTGCTGTCTTGGTCACACATGTGCCAGCGAGACATGCAACAACAATTTGTTCTCTTTTGAGCTCTTGTATGTCACCCATACCTGTCAACCCTCCCGTTTTTCCCAGGATTCTCCCGTATTTTACAGTTCTATCCCGCTATCATCCTGTAAAAGTATTTTCCGGTATTTCTCCTGTATTTTCAGTCTTTCTCTGAAGGGTGTTAAATAAACATTAAAGAGCCGAGCATCCCTTTACGCAACCCATACCGCCGAACCACCAGGGGCCGCCCCTCACTCTTAAATGTGAGTCTGTTCTGTGCTTTCGCTTTATTTAGGCATGAAAAGACTGAAAAAAACATTAAAAAGGTGGGATTTACTTCCTTTACATTACAGGTGCCATCGCCCCTTCATATGCAATCCTCAAAACAGTCATGTAGCGGTGTGTGACTGTCAGCTGACTCGCTCCATAGTGATAAATAGACGCTGTTTCCCAAACGGATTCTGTACTCGTGATTTAAAGCGGAGCGAAAGTCTGGCTTTTGGGTGCGTGTTTGAACAGACATGTACACATAATTATTAATAATAACATCTAAAGGTGTCGATCTTGGTGTTTTTTTATTTTTTCAAACACAACTAATTTTGTCCTAAATGAGCATAAAAAGTTATAAAAGCAATCAAATGCTTTCATTATAACGTTAGATGTGTGCTTTTTTTTAAAGTGAAACCTGTTATTTAATGTAATCTAACAAAAAAATCTAAATAAATAAGAGATTCATTCATTGTTCTCTAATCAGAATATGTAAGTTATACAGTGAAGAAACGGCTAATGAGATTTGATAACTTGATTCTATTTCATTATAATAGCTCATTTTTATAAGCTGATAATAATAGCTAATTTTAATAAGCTTAATGCTATTTTTTTGCTGCTAATGTATACTATTTATTTTTTTCTTTTGTAAATAATACTAAAACAAATTACTAACCATTTAACTGTTAATTTACAATGAAACAGCTTTAAATGAGCATAGCAATTTGGGGATTTTCTTAGAGGGGATTCCTTATTATGGTGTGCATATCCCTTATTTTCACATCCCAATGTTGACAGGTATGCAATGTCACCCATAATGTTGTGTGCATTGCATTTTAAGCACAACTGTGCTATTACTCTGCACTCAATGAAGGTTGGCCACTAGGCTGGTCAAATTTAGCAAGGAAACCTCCAACACTCAATTGTATATATAGTTGAAGTCATAATTATTAGCCCCCCTGTTTATTTTTTCCTCAATTTCTGTTTAAGAGAGAGAGAAGATTTTCCTATAACACATTTCTAATGTCAGTTGGCAATTTCTGTGTGGAGTTTGCATGTTCTCCCCGCGTTCGCTAGGGTTTCCTTCGGGTGCTCCGGTTTCCCCCAGAGTCCAAAGACATGCAGTACAGGTGATTTGGGTAGTCTAAGTTGTCTGTAGTGCACGAGTGTGAATGAGTGTGTATGGATGTTTCCCAGAGATGGGTTGCAGCTGAAAGGGCATCCGCTGCATAAAACATCTGCTGGATAAGTTGGCGATTCGTTCCGCTGTGGCAACCCTGGATTATTAAAGGGACTAAGCCAAAAAGTAAATGAATTAATTAATTTCTAAACATAATAGTGTTAAAAACTCATTTCTAACAACTAATTTATCTTTGCCATGATGACAGTAAATAATATTTGACTATATATTTTTCAAGACACTTCTATACAGCTTAAAGTGACATTGAAAGCCTTAACTAGGTTAATTAGGCAAGTTATTATACAGTATATTGATGGTTTGGTCTGTAGACTATCAAAAAAAATAGCTTAAAGGGGCTAATAATTTTGACCCTAAAATGTTTTTAAAAAAATTAAAAACTGCTTTTATTCTAGCCGAAATAAAACAAATAAGACTTTCTCCAGAAGAAAAAATATTATCAGGCATATTGTGAAAATTTCCTTGCTCTGTTAAACATCATTTGGGAAATATTTTAATAAAGAAAAAAATTCAAAGGGGGGCTAATAATTCTGACTTCAACTGTATGTGTCATTTTTCCCCAATGTACGGTATGTGGCTGTACAACAGAGGTGTTAACAATTGGTGACGTAAAAGTGTAGTATAAACAGTTTACCCCTTGGTGGCAGCAATGTGTTTCTGTGATGTTAAGGGCAGGCAGTCAATCACAAGAGGCACTGGCTAGATACCTACACTTCTCCCTATGCAGTGTGTGTGGTGGCTCCTGCAGGATGAGATCATCAGAGTTGTGTGCAGCCCTGCACTGCAGAGGAAGACCCACATCAGGAGAATGGGTCAAGGGCAGGGGAGTAGCCACATTTACACTTTAATTTCTTCCGTCCTTTATATTATACCTCCTCTCTTAACCATCCTTATTTTTGTCCCTATACAATAATTATTATCATAGACTGTTTGAATAGTTTCCCCCATCAGCCCTTCGTGGCTTTATTTTTTCTCTATTTTCCTTGCAAATCATCTTGCAAATCTCTTAGAGAACTTCTTCAGCTAACACACTCCTTTTGTCTTCACGAATGGATTCTGCCAGAATAAATATGTAAAGTCCCTTCATACATTGCACTTTACACATTGTAGGTTGTGTCAAAGCAGCTTCACAGAGATTCATCAGTGCAACTGAAATGAGCGCTGTTTTCACTTTGTGTCAAGATTCATTTTAGTTCAATGCGAATGTCACTGTTGAAGGATGTGATTTAGCTTTAGGGAAGCCCTACCATTCCCAGCTACGCAAGCCAAATTGTGACCGTAGGAATCCAAACTCCACAAGGTGACAGAAAAGGAGGGAAAAAACAGACTTGCTTGGGAACAGTTCTTCTCTGACCAACCCACCCTCATGTATCAGGCCTTTAGCCGGGGGCGTTCGGGTGGTTTAAAAGACCCCACCCCCCACTGACAAAAGTCCCATACATGAAATCATTTCGACTGCTATTCCATCATAAATTGTGAAAATAACCCATCAAAGAAAGGCTTTAGGATCAAGCAGAATGCTCTGTTGGCTGTCGTGACTTATTAGTTTTGGCCAATTCAAACAATTATATGACTTGAATTGAATTATATTCAATTACATGAATCCAACATCTGTGCAAGACAACATACAATCTGACGAAAGTCAAGTCATCTTTCACCACTGACCTGTTTTGCTGTTAAATAGAAGGGAAAAAAATTATATCATGGACCTTATTTGCAGTGGAACCCCCAGAACGTTTTCTTAGGGGTGGCCAAAAGAGGCCACACCAAATCTGGCAGGTGGAGGCGGCACAAAAAAAAAAATAATGAATTCAGTGTAATGTTATATTTTTGCTTTTGGTAAATGAAATAATGTGGTTTTAATTAATTTAATTAATTACTCTTGAAATATTGCAATTTATTTCTTGAAATGATTTAGCAAGTACATGTGTAAACCAAATAAAAATCAATATTTATTTATATATATATATATATATATATATATATATATATATATATACACACACACACACACAGTTGAAGTCAAAATTATTAGCGCCCCCCCCCCCCTATTATTAGACCGCTTGTTTATTTTTTTTCCCAAATTTCTATTTAACTGGGAGAAGATTTTTTTTCAACACATTTCTAATCATAATAGTTTTAATAACTCATCTCTAATAACTGATTTCTTTTCTCTTTGCCATGAGGACAGTAAATAATATTTTACTAGATATTTTTCAAGACACTTACAGTTTAAAGTGACATTTAAATGTTTAAATAGGTTAATTAGGTTAACTAGGCAGGTTAGGGTAATTAAGCAAGTTATTGTATAACAGTAGATTGTTCTGTAGATTATAAAGAAAAAATATAGCTTAAAGGGGCTAATAATTTTGTCCCTAAAATGGATTAAAAAAAATTAAAAACTGCTTTTATTCTAGCCAAAACAAAACAAATAAGACTTTACCTAGAAGAAAAAATATTATCAGACATACTGTGAACATTTCCTTGCTCTGTTAAACATCATTTGGGAAGTATTTAAAAAGAAGAAAAAAAATGTTATTTACAGCATACAGTATGTCTAAAATAAATAAAAATTAATTATTTAATAAAACAAATAAGTGAAAAACTGAACAAAAGGCATTACTATATACACACACACACTCACTATACAGACCCTAATAATATAATTTATCCTTGTTTTTTCGTTTTTAAGCCATGATAATATTAATACAGCTTCTTGTATTGATGTACCATAAATATTAAATTGCTATTGCTGTCTATTGAAGGTGCTGTCAACAATGATTGGGGAGGGGGAGGGGCAGTGAATCAGCAACGTCAGTGGCATCAATCAATCCACAATAATTTAGTGGCTGCTGTTTATTTATTGATTAAATATTGTGAATTTACGTAAGT